CACACACACACACACACACACACACACACACACACACACACACACATATATATATATATATATATATCTTTAATATTAAGTTTGTGATGATTGTTTATGTCTCTCGCATGGGTTGCATCCAGGCACAAATAGAGAATTGCAATGACCTCGCCTCCAAGTACTTCCGGGTGATCTCGCTTTGAAAGGATTGGAAAGAAAGTTCCTGGACAAAAAACAGAATCCGAAGAGGGCTCAGATCGCTGAATCTTTTACTTCTTACTGAGCAAGCGAAAGCTTTTTCTTCAACGTGTTTTATGAAATGCTCCTCTTGAATTTGTCCTTTATCACAAAGCAAACAAATGTTTTTTATCCGGAGTGTGAGATCTTGTGTACTTTGTTAAATAGTCCTTTCTAGCAAATCTTTGACCGCAAAGTAAACAGGCAAAAGGTTTTGCTCCAGAGTGTGCTCTTGTTTGCCTTGTTAAATATTCCCTCGGAGAAAATGTTTGCCCATAAACTGATCAGGCAAAAGGTTTTTCCCCAGTGTGAGTCCTTGTATGCCCGTGAAACGCGAGTCCGAGGCACGATCTGCGTTACTCGCGCACAATCAGCAAAGCGCATGCGCAGCAGGTGGGCCATTTTTAACGCGAGCTACGGCAATCATATTCGGACAGAATACGCGAGCAATGCCTTCCCAACTGATGGCTAGCTTTAGCTAGCTACTGTTAAAAGTCTCTTTCGATTGAATCTTGTTCCGCAAACGGAGCAGGCAAAAGGTTTTTCTCCAGTGTGTGTTCTTCTGTGCGCATTCAAATGCCCCTTATGTCTGAAACTTGTTCCACAAATTGAACAGGCAAAGGGTTTTTCCCCAGTATGTGTCATTGTGTGCCTTGCTAAATCTGTTTTCTGAAAGAATCTTTTCCCACAAGCTGAGCAGGGAAGGGATTTTTCCCCAGTGTGTGTTCGCGTGTGCCTTGTTAAATATGTCTTTGTATAAAATGCCTTCCCACAAGCTGAGCAGGCAAAGCGTTTCTCCCCAGTGTGTCTTCTTGAATGCATGGTTAAATTCCTTTTACACGTAAACTTTTTACCACACGCTGAGCAGATAAAAGGTTTCTCACCAGTGTGAGTGATGACGTGTTTGGCTAAATTTCCTCTTTCAGAGAATCTTTGACCACAAACGGAGCAGGCAAAAGGTTTTTCCCCCGTGTGTGTTCTGGTGTGGCTCGTTAAACTTGTATTTCGAGAAAACGTTTTACCACAAACTGAGCAGACAAAGCGTTTCTCCCACGTGTGTGTCCTGGTGTGTGTTTTCAATGTTGACTTACTGACAAAGGTTTTGCCACACTGGGAACATTTCAGTCGTCTGTTGGGCGCATGACATGTCAGATCACCTTTGGACTGTTCGTCATCGTCGTCATCCTCTGTGTCAGAAGACTGTGACGTGACGCCGTCTCCGTCAGAAAGTGGAGCCAAGAGGCCGTCCGAGTGGGATCGTCCATCCTGGTCTCCATCAGCTTGTTCACCCTTCACACTGACTCCAGTCAATGGAAACTTGCTGATTTCATCTTCCTGCTCTTCTTTTTTAACGTGAGGGCACTCTCGCGTCTCCTCTTCTTTAGTTTGGGGGGATTCTAGCTCCTGCTGCTCATGTCCAAGATCTTCTTGTTTGAGGTCTGCAGGGCGGGAGAAAAAACAAAACCAGGGGTTGTTAAGGTCAAGCTATGCTCAGTCAAGTCTGATGTTGTGACTTTGCCGTTCAACGTTCCGCGTTATTGTTTCCGATGTTGCTCCTTATTGTCCGCGAGTCTGAGCATTCACAAGAAGTCCCTGAGCATTCCTTGCACCACGATGAGCACCATCGGATATGCACGTGGGGGCCAAGCCCGCATCACAAAACATGGCCGTGACTCGAACGGTCCATGTGTCCATTCCACAAAATATGTTGCCAAGCCTGTGGAAATGAGCTGCCGTTCTCCCATTTTCAAAAGCGGTGACCCTCTTTTCATCGCAAACTATCGCGTCACACTGTCGCAGGCTGACAATTGACTCCAAATTGTCATTTGAGCCACGTGAAAAAAGGCTCCGTCATCCAATCCGATCAAATCTAACTGTAAGAATTAATGTCAATGTCAATGCGAAAAATGGAGAGAATCACCTGGTGTTCAGCCATCTGGTCTCAAGCCCGGTGTACGTTTTCGAAGCCTCCGCGACCGCCGTGCGTACAAGAAACCAAATAGTTTTCCTCATTCTCCAGTGTTACGAAAAGACAGATTACTCCCGGGAGAACATATCGTCAAATCAACTTAGTCACGGTTTTCCTTGGTCATTTTATGAACGTCCAAGCAGCTGACCACAGCAGCAGAAGGCGCAATTAAATGGTTGTCTTGAGAAAAAAGGGCCTTTTCTCTTTCGCTGCGACGGCGCGGACTCTTCTCACATTGACGTTCCCACAGAGGAAATGGCTCGCTGCCACCACAAAGTAACATGCCCCCCCCCTCCCTAATTGCCTTTTGTCAAGGTTTTGAATGACACTAAGTCGTCGATGAGCGAAGTGAACAAACCTGCTCCGGGTGACACATCTCGAGTCTCCAATTTTCAAAGGTGACGTCGCGGCTCCGCGTCCTCTTCTGTCGCCCAAAGTTGCCCCTCCTACTCTGCCGTCATTCTTGCGCGCATTTTTGCGAGGCAAACACAACACGTGACACTCACTCCATCGCCGTCTTCTTTGCGACGCGTCTCTTTCTTGGCGGTTAGCGAGCCAAGTTAGCCAGGGGACCTTGGACGTGCACCCACACGAGTTTATCGGAGATGAAATCGATTCCGTTTCACATCCCGTAACGCGGCGACGCACGTACTGTGTCGAACCTTTCGTCCGTTCCGTAAAGATTCGAGAAGAATAACCGCGCGTCCAAGCCGCGACCTACAGCGCCGACACAATCTGCAGCGCGCATGCGTAAGAGGGCGACCATATTTGATCCCGTGCTACGGCTACCACAATCGGCCCAAAAACATCCCCG